TACACATCTTTGGTTTCTCCCTTTGCCTCTCCTGCACTTCTCCCCACTGGAAGCTCGGGTATCTTAGCACTACACTCCCCAGGATGCTGCACACAACGGGGTAGGAGCAGATCTATGGAGCAGCACTGCGGGAAAGACTGATCCTGGGATCCCTAGGAAAATATTAGTGCTATTTATGACACCAATTAATACAGATAAAGGAAAATCAACTGTGATTTTTGGGACAGGAGGGCCCTTTTCCACCAGTCAGTTAAATCGGCAGCACCAGCTCTCTCCAGAGCACATCCCAGCCGGCACTCAGAGAGCGCCGGGGCAGGGAGCGGTGCGGCAGGTGAAGGTGAAGGTGCACTCACCGCTGCGGAGCCGGTTGTGGGTGGAGAGCTGCAGGGCGCTCTCGGGGCAGTTCCAGCGCTCCCACCCGAACTGGAACTTGCACTCCTCCATCCCACTGTGTGCCCCGGCTGCCACGCTGCTGGAGAACGTCAGGTAAGCCTGGCATGGAAAACAGCGGGGTTAAAATCCACCCTGTTTTAGCCTTTATCAGTGAAAACAGACATAAGCAGGTTGTGAGTCCTTTCCCTCTGTATTTGCAGGACTTGGAGCCGATATGCTCTGGGAAGTCTGGTTCCTTGGAAAGTACTATTTCCCATTTGCAAAACAAAATCACTCCATTTAAATTCCTGACAGTCAATATGTTAATTACCTTAGGTCCTGTCATCAGAAAGTTATTCACAGACCTGAAACAAAGAAAATAAAATTAATCACCTTACCACAGGCTGAAGAGCATCTCTAAAAAATTCCCTTTCCACTGAGTTGGACCCTACCATGCTGCTGTGTGGAGAATGGCACTGTAGACCCCTGTGATGGAGAGGATGAGGAGGGTGTTTCTCTTCATGGCTGTCACAAGGAGTGGGGATGGATCCCTTTGGCTGCTCCGTAGCTCTCCTCACTGCAGGTCTCTGTGCAAGGAGGGCCGCCTCCCTCCACTCCTTCCCAAGGTGAGTTACGGGGATGGAGCAAAGCGGCAGGAACCTCCAGCCCTGATATTTATAAGGTGAAGTTGTGAATAGTCAAAACCCCCCATTCATTTGCTACCCAATGACTTAATGTGGTAAAAAAGCTCCCGCTCCAATGGGTGACAAGGAACCGCCTAAGGTTGCACTTCAAAAGGCGGCGGGTGTCCCTGGGAGCGGGATGGTCTGAAGTAGAGCAAACTTCCCTAACAATGGGACACTTTTAACTCTCTTCCCTGCCACCAGCCATCCCTTTCTGCTGGCCCCAAGTTCTCTTGCCTTCTCCTTTTCATTCTCTGCTTGCCAGCAGAGGCTCCATCCCCATGTTCCTCTGAAATAACAAGCAGATGCATTTCTATAGTTCCCCTCGTATCTGCCTGCTCCCTCCTATGAGAACTTCCCGAGGAGTTTTAACAGCCCTTCTGTAAAGATCTATAGGGGATAGACCTCCCAGGTCTCCTTGCAGAGATGCGTTTAACAGCGGGTTTTTTCCTTCTTGCCTCTTTATGATGAAAGTCTCTGCATTTCCATCCTGATAACAGTGAGCGTGGCTCGGTAGCATTTGGAAATCTCTCTAATTTACGCAGCTGCAGCTTGGGAACACTCTGCGAATTGTTTATGTGGTTTTCTCCAATGCTGTAATTAGGGGAACAGTTTTCTGGGGTTGGCGATTTTCTTATGGTGGAAGCTGCTGCAGCAAAGGCATGGCTGCTGCTGCTCCAGGCAGGAGCTGCCCATAGCCTGAGTGCAATGAGGGGCCTCCGCTGCAGCTGAGCCATCATCTGTGCTTGGGAAAGGAAAATCCTTATCAGAGGAAGCCCAAAAAGCCTTTTGGTAGTTACAGCCAGTATCATTAAGGGTTCTGAGGAGCTGTGATGCAGCTGATGGAAATAGTGTTCATGGAAACTTCTTGGTCCGTTTTCCTGTGGGTGAATGGTCCCACCAGGGGCTGGCTCACCCTGGGCAGGGATCCTGGCTGCTCCACAGGACAGTGTGGGCACTTGGCCCCAGCGCAGTGCTGAGCCAGCAGAAACAAACAGCCCCCTGGCTCTGCCTGTTACTGTGCCATGGCACACAGACACAGCATCTGCCCATGATGACTCTGGCTCTGTGGCAGGCAGAGGCACTGCCTTTTTCCTCCTTCTCTCAGCTCTCTGACTAACCCTGGGGTACACCCATCTCCCTGAGTTAATCACAGCTGCTGCAAGGGGACTGATAAAAAAGCATCAAAAGTCAGGTTCAAGGGAATGGAATTGCACTGGACATGGCATTTAGGGAGCTGCCCCACAAGCAGAAGGGGACACACAAGGGACAAACCCCATCTTCACACTGAGGAAAATGGCCACAGCCAGGAGTGCAATGTCCAGGCAGGGGGATGCACCTCAATACCTTGGAGAAGTAGCTTTGTGTCCTGCCATGAAATGCTCAAGAGCATTGCAGAGCCGGCAGCTTGACCTGGGGTTTGACACCTCACAGCTGGTGTCTGAAGTGCAGGCCTGTGGGCTCAGCTCCCGCTGCTGGTGACCTGTCACTTGGCTCTCCTGCCCAGAGCAGACAGATCAGCTCCTCACTGCTCCTGGCTGCAGAAAGCAAAGGGATTCTCCCTGTCCTGCTGCTCCTCAGCAAGTGAGGGGGGAGCCCCCTCCCTGTAGACTCTGCAGAAGGGAAACCTGGAGTCAGCTGGGCAAAGCCACAAACAACCCGTTTGTAACCAGAGGATTAAAATTGCAGATTGGTTGAAAAGCAGAGATGCAAAATACCTTCCAAGTGAGCACAAATCTGGTGCAGTCCCACCAGCATGGAAAACCCTCGTTGAGTCAGCATTTTAATTATTACCATCCTGAACAGATCCTACTTGTTAGAGCTGTCAAAGGACAATTACTGGGAATGAAGTGTTTCCCATGTATCAGGGAACTTCATTGATTAAATTTAGCCCATGCAAAGGTCTTGGAAATCTGCATGCATTTTCTATGTGCACACAGGCAATTTTGGGGGGTTGTGTCTGGCTGCCCCTGAGGCCATATAGATAGGGTTTTTTCTTGTCTGAGACAGCTTGCGCAGCTAAAAAAAAATGTTGGCATGTCTGCTCTGTCAGTTCACACATGATATTGCTATCACATGCCAGAGGAATAACAGTGTCCCTGGGCGTGAGCTGTGCTGCAAGCAGCCGCTGGCAGGACCACACAGCTCTTTGCCCAGGCTATTAAAAATGTCCTTTCTAATTAAAGTCACAGTGATCTTAAAAGTCCCTCATAACGTTGTCACTTGCACTAGTTTTCAGCAAACAAAGCAGCATGTTGAGACAAGCCTTCCCACACTGCTCCAGGTTTTTTCCACTTTAACTGCTCAGGCCTGGCAAGCAGGAGTGAGCACTTCTGCAGGTCACCCAGCAATGAGTGCAGTGATCCCAATTGTATCGCTGCTTGACATTTCCACCTTAGGCAAAAGCAGACTTGGGTCTTGCTGTGTTAATAAATTGCACTTACAGAACACTTCATGCAATGTCCTTGCAGTAGAAGAGATTAAATGTACACATCTGTTTGCAGCTGGGTAAACTTAGGCACAGAAATGGGTGGTCTGGAGATCTCAGGGTGGATCATTGGCAGAGCTGAACTGGGCAGAGCTATTTAGAAGCTGGTTTTGGTGCTTTTCTCTGTAAGTCACTGAGCAGAGCTGGGCTCTGGAGGCTACAGAGCTGGATGCTCCCCCATTGCCCATGGGAACAGCCCATTACCCATTACTGGGTAATCCGAGAAACCATGCTGAAGGTGGTTTCCCTTTGATTTTCCCACTGCCTAAAGACCTGCTTTTGGTTTGGTTCTGGATGGGGGAAAAAAAGTCTGGAAGGCAAATTCTGTGGAATTTACCTGGTTATGAAGAATGTGCACTGTCAGTGATTCTGGGCAGCTTGGATCTCATGAGCTATCAGCTGCCCAGCATGGAGGCAGCACCAGAGCCTGCACTGTGTGCTGCTGAGGGACCAGCTGTCCTGAGTGTCAGCTGGACCCCCTCGACAATCCTAATTAAATGTTGATGCTTTGTTTTTTATTTTCTTGCTACGTAACTAAACAGGCACTGCTTTTCATGGGATGGTCAAAATCCTAAAGGATTTTGGTATCTGCCCTAATTAACGAGACAACAATAGTATAGACAGCCCCATGCACCCAAAAAACCCTTTTCACCCTGCAATGTGGGTTTTAAGGGAAAGCAGACATGAGGTAAATCAGTTTACCAGCGTGGCAGGTCTCACAGGGGTGGGGCCTTGGTTTGTGCTGCTGTGGCTGTGTGGACAACAAGACAATAAAGCACAGGCCACTTGGTAAATTGCCCTTGGCAGGTGACACATTCGGAGCCCTGGCGTCAAATCCTGCATTGCTGCCCTCCTTACAATAGAAACCCACCTGGGTAATTAGAAAGCCACTGCCTCGCTGGTGAGGTGGAGGATGTTTTATGGTGTTCTCCCACACTGCTCGCCCCAGGAAGCCCCTCAAGCCCTTGGTCTGTGCAGGGCAAAGGGGATGTGTCCTCCTGCTGCACGATACTCCATCCCAGAGCACTGCAGGCGTGGGACAACCCTCTTGCACTCCCAGTTCTTCTAGGAATTGTTATTTATAGTCTTCTCAGCTTTCCTGTATTGGGGAAAATATGTCCCTATTGTTCTGCCTGCTGCACAGTCCCTATGGACTGCTGCAGTTCCCAGCAGGAGCAAACAGAGGCAGGACCTGGACCTGGCAACGCTGGGTGGAGTTTCGCGTGTATAATGAACATGTTTTGATTAATGAATAGTAGTTGGGGATGGAGATGGAACTGAAATCAGGTATTGTGCCACACCTACCCCACAGGCTTGGTCCTCTTCATGCCTGTTTTGGCACACAGAAGTATCCCGATATTCACTGAAAACAAGATTAAACCACCCAACAGAGCCAACTTAGTGTGTGCTTTCCCAGTGAAAAAAATTATCCCAAGGAGGTCCTGTCTCTCAGCAGCATTTTGTGCCCTCAGCTGTACCAATGCACCCAGTTTTTCCATCTTATTTTTAACCCTGACTCCTAGAACACCCTCATGCAGCATGATGAGGTGAGCAGTGAACTTCATCAGTGAGGCCACAAAAAATCAAGTCCAAGGTAACGGCCTCTTCTACTGAAGGAAACACATCCTGGGATAGAAGCCAGCACCAAGGAAGCTCCAAGCTGTACCTTTTGGTTCCAGAAAGGAAAAAAAATTGAGGAACCAAATTCTGGTCTTTCTCGATGCAAGCTGGCCAGGGACATTGATGCTTCCCAGCACAGACTGTCAAGGTGCTTTGGGAATATCCTGATTGGGCTTGTAGAAAAGGCCCTCAGAGCATTGCAGAGCTCTTGGATCTGTGTGCATGGGACAATGTGTTTAGGCTAGAAATGGGAAAACAGGGGTGGGGAACCTTTTATTCCATCAACAAGAGGCAGAGCATGGGGCTCAAGATGTAGATTTAACTTGCTATGGGCTCACCATGTATCAGGAATGAGGTGGATGAGCATGGCCCCACTGTGGTGGGGACAATGGGCTGGGAGACAGGTCAGGACCCCTCCAGCCCAATTGACTGGGGACAATGGCTGGAAGGGGATTTCACCTTATCAGCGGCAGTGCCCATCTCTGGGGAAAGCTCTGGAGAGGACTTGGCTGCCCAGTCAGCCCTGGAGAGGCAGCTCCATGACCTGATCAGCCTCACCTCACCTGCCTCCTTTAGGTGTGTCCCCCAAAACCTACAGGGCTGTTTACATAGCAGCCTTATAAAGTAGGGACAAGTGTTTTGTTTTTCTCTCTCTCTTTAAAGGAAGTGTCATGCAAACAGTGTCAGTGCAGCTGATGGGTTACTGCCTGGGCATCTGCATGCAGGGACTAAATCTCTGTCCTGGCAAGGTGTCACCTCCCAGGTGAAAGCCTGTCCAGGAAGAGATTGGGCACTTGATACAGAGGAAAATTATCACCTCCTTTTTAATTATTCCCAGCCAAACTCAAATTAACTGATTACAACC